ACTAAATGTTGTTCCTCTACTGGTAAAATAAACATTAAGTGAGCTTTATGTGTAAATGTTTAGTGTTCCTAAAATGAACATTCAAATGCATGGCTTAGAATCTTCCACAGTAAGAACGTTGCCCAAAGAAAGAAAAGGAAGCAAGTATCAAACAAACAAAACAAAAAAAAAAATGTTTCAATCTTGGTATAAAGTAACAGCTGGACCCTTTTAACTATAAAATCCAATAGTCTACTGTTGTTATGGAGGTCATTACTTACATAGTAAAAATGTTCTCTTCTAATAGGGTATAAGGAAAAGGCAAAAAAGGAAATGTTATTTCATTTTGGGTTCCTGCAATGACAACAACTTTAACATCAGTGAAAGCATTGATCTGCTCTTCAGGTAGTATTATTTACATTTCAGTGGGTAGAAACTTGGACTGATAGAAGAATGGTTTTTCTCAAGGATATTTATAGTACCAATAATGATTTCTCTTCGGATTGAATATCTCTTTATCACTCAATGCTTAGTTGGGAATAGATTCAAAACTTCAATAATAAACGTGTCAAGTTCATGTTCTAAAAAAGCAGATATTAAATTTAGTTATTAAAATAAATAAATTTTTGTAAAATTTGTTATATCTCTTCTCTCATCATAAGGGTGTCTGGCTTATTTTTTGAGAAAATTATTTGTACTTGATAGTTAAATTTTTATAAAAATGTATGTGCTATCTCAGTTAGAACAGCACACTTTTATGTACAGATGTGAAAAAACTTGAATTTCACAGTCCTTGTAATAAAATTGTTTAAGTCACTAAGGTAAGCTGTTTGCAGTAGGCTGGAGTCCATAGATATTAGGGTCCACGAGTAGGAGAAGCCACAGCAATTAAGATGAAGGTGAGTGCCATATTTTCACTATCTTCTGTCAGATGGATGCCCAAATAACTTGCTGGTCTTGATATGGTTCTCTTAAAAGTTGGGGCAGGGTTACAAGTGAGCTTATATTTATTTAAAGGAAACTTTTCATTTTAGGGTTAGTAACTTCCTTAATAGATAGAAAAACTACAGAAGCACTACTCTGAAACATGATTGTGGATGATCTTAGTTATATGAATTAAAAGAAACGAGAGTCCAGGCACACTCATGGGACCTGAGGTTAGTTAATGACAATATTGAGGACACAGGTTGAGGCAGACAACTGGTACGAGTGCTCAGTGAAACCATGAATCAGCATTCCAGATAACTGGAAGAAATGTCAGGCAGAACTCACTGATTAAACCCTGAGAAATTCAGAACTTTGGACAGTTCCTAAAGACAGGCATACTTCCAGGTAGAGTACTTAACCTTTAGGTAACCAGACCTACTCATTTAAGGCTACCTCTTGGTGTTTCACTTATACGTATCTGCATGTGAGATTAAAGTGGTTCTCAACCTTCCTGCCCTTTAAATACAGTTCCTCATGTAAATATCTGATATGCAGGATGGTCTTAGGCGACCCCTGTGAAAGGGTTGTTTGACCCCCAAAGGGGTCGCGACCCACAGGTTGAGAATTGCTGCCTTAATCCCAAAGGAATTATCTCATTCATCTAAAGAACTCTGTGATCTGTGTTTCACATGCAACTTCAGTCCTGGCATGAAGGTTCATAATGTGCATGTTACCTGGGGTTATGACAGACTTGCCACTGGGCCTTGTTCTATTAACTTACTTTTAAACTTGACTGAATATAAAAAGGTGAAAAAGTGATCATCCAAGGTATGGAAAAGCGTCTCTTTACCAATACCTGATGGTCCTTCAGAGCCAAGGCCTCTGGGCCATTTACATGCAAGGCCATTCAGCAGCTGTTTCATAGCTGCTGAAATGAAGTGTTCCGCCTGGGTCAGGGGTTGGTGGTGCAGAGAAAGGCTCTAAGAATCTGCTCAAGTTCTGCCTAGGGCCATGTGGCATAACTGTAGATGGTAACACAAGCACATTAAGGTCTTCCCTGCAGCCTCTGGTAAGCGATGGAATTGCTCCTTTGAAGCGAGGACTTTGAGTCAATTTCTACAAGGGGTAACTGTAATTCAGGACAGTCCATCTGATTTCTAATCAAAAAACAAATGCCATTTTAGCTACATCTATTCACCAAGATTAAAATTAGGATTATTGACAATGAGACAAAATGTATACATATGAAAAATGCTTAAAAGAATATATTCTTCTTCATAACTACTTTTCTGATGAGTGTTTTCTGTTCTGAAACTGAATGGTGAGCCGAAGCACAGAAAAATCGTAAGAATGGTTTTCTCAGTTATGAGCAACTTAACCAGACTTTTTATACAGGTCTTTCTTTATCTTTGCTAATGAAAAATGAATGGGTGCCCAGTTCCCAAAAAGAAATACTCCAAGTTGGCAAGCATTATAGGCAAAAAGAAGCAGGGGATTTCTCCCTACCTCCAATTGCAGCATTAGCAGCTTTGCTGTTTTGGTTTGTGGGTTGGAATCAGTCTTAAGGGCCCCACATGGTTCACAAGTCTGTTACTTTGATGCTTAGAGTAATTCAATACCTTCTTGATTTTTTTTTGGTGGATTCACAGATATTAAAGATTAATTTTCTTGTCTTTTGAGGGCTTTAAAGAGTACTAAGAAGGCATGAGAATATTCCAGTACTGGGAGAGAAGGGAGCAATGGCCCTACCACTGAAGAAGGAAGAACATATAATATAGAACAACTGGGATTTTATTGCAGAAATCTTATGAGAGATTGATGTCACAAAGGGGTGACAAATATAAAAGTTCTAGGGTATTTGTTTAGTTGAGTAGCACATGATTGTTATTCTTTACAGTCTGAGAGGACCAAAGTAGATAAGGTATTCCCTAGTTTTCCTTGACAAATAATACATTAAGGGTTAGCCCTGAATCTAGAGCTCAGGATCAATTCAGAAGGAATGGCAGTAATTTTTATTAGAAAGTCCATTCCACTAGTTTCTCAACTATAACTGTAGGAAGATGTGGAGATTCTGAGATTGGAGAACGCACCCTAGGTGTCCATCCAGATAGTTATGTGACCTGAGAAAAGAGCTTTTTCTTTATCCAAGTACATAATGTGTAAATAATGATATTGATTCCCCAAAGTCATGTATGTAACTCAGCCTTATTACTCAATGACCAGCTCTATGCATGCTGGGATAATTCAAATTGGCGCCAAACTGAGCAAAGTACTGTCAATGCTGAAAAGAACTCTGAAGAAGATTTAGGACAACCCACGCTGGGGCTCATAAATTGGTTATGTTTGTGTGGTTTCAGGATATTTCTCCGAAAATTCAACTGGAACCTAAAATTTAAGCTAGACTATATGTTTAAATATATTGATATTAAACTTCATGACATCTAATTCATCATGAGAATATTAGAATGAATTTAAAAATGAATATTTGGTTTAATAGTTTCACCTTTTATACAGTTGATACAGTTTTTATTTTTAAAACCAGAGAAAAGGTCATATTGTTAATCATTCTACTCTTGGCATGCTGCTGTTCGTTAAGACATTGGTTCTTTGCTATGTAAATATTATCTCTAGCTAAAGTAATTAAGTGTAATACATTATTTTTGCAAATATGCAGCCTAATGAATGCCACTAAATAATGTTGCAAACCCCATAGGAAAAATACACTATAAAACTTATTGCTTATTACTGACTTCTTCATATAATGATTTTCTATAAGTTAGACCATTATTTTTCAGGCATAATTTAAGGCAGGCTTATATGATTAACACAAGTTCTTTATTTAAAATATTTTCAATCAGTCTCCACTATCGTTTATTTTTGACAATCTGAAGAAGAAACAAGACTCGTGTATAAAACCATTTTCTCTCCATTGGTATTTTTGCCTATATCATGTAATTTGGCAATGAACAACTAAACGTCTCAGCCTAAACTGTCTGAGGAGTGTGAATTAAAAATAAAAAAGAGTTTTTAATACGTTTAGCAACTTAAAAATATTGAGTTCTTAAATACCTATAGTCTACTGGATATCTGCAGATAAATGAAGGAGGTAGTGGAGACCCTAACTATTCACAAACCCAGCTTATTTGCTGATGGTAAACCTCAGATATTTTATGGGCTAAGCAGCAGTGTACACGTTATGAGTTTTGTTTATAATATCACTCACTATTAATTGCAGTTCAGTAAACTAGATTCACCTTTAGACTTAATAATACATATAAGTATAATTTACACATATAAGAACTGTAAAGATGGAATGAAAATATTATTTTCCACTGTTTTTTTGTTTTATTATTTTAAAATCTCATTATGCATACACAGATACATAATTTCATTAGACATAAACTGCATGCATGCAGGTGTTATTTAAATGTATGAATTTGTTATGTGTTATTTATTTGATGTTTCAATTCTATCATTCCCCTTTTACATCTAAGACTACTGAGGGCCAGAGATACTGAGTTACATAATACCTATAGTGGGTAAATAATAAGGCAGATCGTGGCTCATGTTACAGTGCTCTTTCCATGGAAACCTACTTTCCACATTCAAGGTTTCAGTTTCATCTGTTGTTCATGTCTGACTCAGCTGCACAAGGGGACCTGCGATTGTGCTAGAGCTTTGAGTGGATCCACAGGATTATTTCCCCCTCCATCATGCTGCATGGGAAGGAAGTGAAGACCAGTTAAGTGAAGTAACTGGAGAAAACTGGAGAGATCATGACAGGACTCGAACCCAAGCCCTGTGCTATTTTAGTTGCTACCTAGATATGAAGATAATTTGTCTGCAAGATCACAGCGTAGCCTCAGGAAGAAATCACAGATACTTCAGTGGATATATACATTTCTCTTGGCATTTTAAGAGTAGAATTAATTCAGATGTATTTTAGCCTTCCTTTAGGAAATAGATTTCTAAAATGACCTTATTAAAGCTTTCAATCCCCAAACAGTAGCACATTGGTAACCTGATATTTTAATAAAGTTGAGAGGAAAAACTGATGCCACAAGGAATAGATATAGCAGTAGAGTTGTGCTTACCTTCGTAAGTCCCACTTTCTAGGAGAGCACCACTTTTCTCTAATTCCATAAAATCTTCAACAGTGATGAAGATATAGTCCACTCCGGGCACCTCACCCTCCTTATGTGGCCTTGTAGTGCCTGAATAAGGAAAATTAAAAATGAAAGACTTTAAGTGGTGTATTGTTGAACTTTAGAAATACCAGCATACTTCTGAATATTCAATAAGACTTGTTTGTACATCCTGCTAGTTCACAGTTTGCATTTGTCCTTCTGTTTGTTTGAAAACAGAAAAGATCAGGGGTTAAAGATTAAAGTAAATATACAAAGAATTTTCTTCATCACATGTATAAAGAGTCCATTGCCTTGAAATGTGGCTGCAAGGATTTTTCAGTGAAAAAAATGCAGACCATTGTGGCTTTTTTGAAGAGGTGGTTTGAATGCTGGGCCAAGAGCCTGCTAGCTCTGGAATTTACATATCTCATTTCTATGAATGGACTTCCATTGTTCTGTAAACTGCTTTGCTATGACATAACATACAATAGAAAACAGAAATGTTAGCAAAATGTCAATTTTTAGGAAATGGGACTGCTTTCTCTTGTTAATTTTACACCAAAAAACTTATATGTGAGCTAAAGAATCACAAAATCATTGTTACTTAAAAATAAATAATTAAATAATTAGAATTGAGCCATAATTGGAACTGGGTTAGTGTTTTAATGCTCATAACACAATTTCCTTCCTTCCTCCCTCCCTTTCTTCCCCATTTCCTTCCTTCCTTCCTTCCTTCCTTCCTTCCTTCCTTCCTTCCTTCCTCCCTCCCTCCCTCCCTTCCTTCCTTCCTTCCTTCCTTCCTTCCTTCCTTCCTTCCTTTAATTCTGACTGAGTTGAGAGGTGACATGCTCCCTGAGGTTACTGCATGGGTCCAACACTCCTGTGTGTTGTGCCACCTATAAAGTGAATGGAGCATATGTGGCCAGCCTGACAGGACAGACAGCTTGTGGCTCAGGACAGCTGCACTGGAGAACACAGGCTTCCAGACCTGCTGGAAGTTCAAGAGGCAGGAACCAAAATGCAGACATAGTAAAGGCTGTGGGTTTGTTTCCTGGCACGCGTCCTTCCTTAAACATTCCCTAAGCTTCTTTTCTTTTTCTATGCCACCTACAGAAGACATTTTGCATGGTCAGACTGGAATTTGCATAACACATACCTGAGAATAGTATGCAGAAGGCAAATATATAAGCAAGGTAATAGTACATTGGTAGTATTTTACTAAAATCTCTGCCATATTCTCTATATACTAAACAAAAAGCATTTCAAACCCTTAATTTTTAGATCCACTTTCTGAAATCTTTATCAACTAAACCATGAAAATAGCCAGTAAGTTCTCCTTTTGCCCTGTTAGAATCAAATCGGAACTGCAAATGAGAGGCATTGACTAATGTCAGAATATGCCATGTGCTAAGGAAAATTGATTCAGGGTAAAAAATTAATAATTTCCATTGAAAACTGGTTTTTAAAGATTTGAAGGCGTTTTCTTTTTTCCATAATCATGTTTAATGACTTTCCCTGAATTTGTTTTTTAATTTGTTTAACTGAGTCACGTTTTGCAACATTTCCTACTGTTTTTATTCTATTAAATATAAACCTCCCACACTGAGTATGCATAATGTTGTCAAATTAATGTTTCTATGAGAACCTTCATTTTCAATATCCTGACTTTTATGTGCTTAACCCTTGTGAATTAAAAGTGCTTATCGTGGTTTTGGGCAATCAATTTGTTTTTCTCTCCATTTAGAACACACTCTAGTCATTAAGAAAAATCACATAGCAAAGTTTCAATTTTCCTGCCTAATTTATCTGCATATTTCAGAAGCTGCATGCTCTGATTAATTAACTTCTTGCAATGTGGTCACGCATTCCCAGCACAATGTGAGCACAGGACCGACCACATGCTTGAGGGCAGTTTCCAGGGTTGCTGACTTGACTGGAGTTACCACTGGTGCTAAATTCTAGGGGACACATTTGTGGTTGTTCTCTTTCTGGGAGGACCATCAGTACTGGGGCTCACTGGGTGGTTTCCATCTTTACTTTGTACCTCGAGGCAACGTGACTGAGGTCTTGCCTTGGAGATGGACTCCCAGTGGCTGCAATAGTACCACCTATGACTGTTGACCTGCTTGATGTTGACTACCTATTTAACCTATTTCATTATTGCTTGAAGAACTTCTACACTATACTCTCAAATGCTGCAATTATTAGCTTTACTATCCATCTTCCATCCTCTTTTCTCATGTTGTTCTTCTTTCTAATTAAAACCTCCAGTCCCTTAAACTCTCCTGATATTCCCCAAATTTGGCTTCATTTGCCTCTCTAACCAACTAAGGGACTGAGAACAACCTAGACTCTCTTCTTTCTATTAGTTCACCTTCACCATTTCCAGACTCTTAATAAGCCCCCACGTTTATTAGCTATTTCATTCATAGACTGCAGTTGCTACAGAAAACCATAAACTTTCACTGACATGTAACCTACAAATTCAGATTATCTAATGTCAGTCTGATTCTACTAATGCGTGGTAATCCTTTTGTATGTCTTCTTCCTTCTGTGTCACAATGCCAATGGTTTTCTAATGCTCAACTTCTTCAACTTCTTCCGTAGGAGGTAATAGTTCATTTTCTTTTTGGTAGAGTAGAAGATAATCTGAAATCAAATTTCCTAAATTTTCCTAAGTTTTGCCTCTACTATTTTCATTATCTCACCCTTAATTGGAAACATACATCCATCTTGCTAAGACAAATCCTTTCTCATGTCAAAGTTTAATTTTTTTTCTTAATCCTCACCTGAGATTTTTTCCATTGATTTTTAGAGAGAGGAAAAGGGGGGTGGGGGAGAGAGAGAGAGAGAGAGAGAGATCAATGTGAGAATAGCACGTTGCTTGGTTGCTTCCTGCACCTGCTCCAACCCAGGTGGGGATCAAACCTACAACCTAGGCATGTGCCTTTGACCAGGAATTGAAACCTCAACCTTTCTGTGCTTGGGCCAGTGTTTCATTCCTCTTTAATAATATTAATAGCACTAATAATAATAATACAATAACATTGTTGATAGCACTACTACTAATAATACAATAACTCTGAAATCTATTATAATCAAAGTTTTAAATGAATTCATTTCCATTTAGGCTAACACTTCTTAAAAAGAAAAAAATTATGATAAAAGACACAGAGTTTGCCAAGGCCGGTTTGGCTCAGTGGATAGAGCGTAGGCCTGCGGACTGAGGGGTCCCGGGTTCGATTCCGGTCAAGGGCATGTACCTGGGTTGCGGGCACATCCCCAGTAGGAGATGTGCAGGAGGTGGCTGATCGATGTTTCTCTCTCATCGATGTTTCTAACTCTCTATCTCTCTCCCTTCCTCTCTGTAAAAAATCAATAAAATATATTTTTAAAAAAAAGAAAATAATTTTGTTCCCCAACTTTACACCTCTTATTTCCTTTCCTCACCTAACTATATTGCCTAGAACTAAGTAATTATGGTAATAGTAGGCATCGCTCCTAAACTTCCAAGGATGCTTGCTGGATTCTAATACAAATGAAGGAAATAACCCTCTATTCTTAGTTTCATTGAATAGGACTTTATCAGAAATGAAAATTAAACATACCAAGGTCTTTTTTGGCATCTTATATGAGATTTTTTATTTTTTTTTTTGGCAAATATTTTTAAAACAAAACAATAAACTATTCCTCAAAAGTTACAAAAAAAGATTAGAAACGTGGGGAGTTGTTCATTGACATTATTTACCATTTTTTAAGCAGTTATTGGCCTATTCTTTTATTGTCCTTCTAAATTTGGTTGGGACTTTCTTGAGTGGTGTTTAGAAAAGTCCAATAAATCTTATTATTCAAATTATGGTTTATGTATTTCTTTATGTCTTCTGGGCCACTCTTGTAAAGGAAAATTTAATAGAGCAGAAATAGAGAAAATGCGACTAAATCGAATCTTTGCTTTATCTCCTCTTGCTTCATTTCTTTAAAAAAAACAAACCCAACTTATTTAATAATTGTTACATTAAGAAGTGCATGAATAGCACCTCCTTCATGAGTTAATAAAAACATACAGTATTTCTGCTCAAAAGACATGTCTGAAGAGAATGAATTTGCTCCCAAATGCTTAGCTTATTACTGATACATCATGAAAGCACATAGAGGCCATTTGTCATTTTTGTCACCATGGCAACCGAGGATGCCAATGAAATTTTTTACTATTTTTTTTAAATGAAGGAACATTGCCTCTTTTGCCTTAGAAAGAAAAGAGTATGATGTTTGTGGTAAATGTAATTCTAAGCACATTTTCCCTCAGCCTTCTAATATTTCCTAATCTTAACAATAAAAACAGTCCCTGACTTACGGGAAAGTACTGCTACCTAGATGATGGTCAGTGCAGTCATCTATTCTCATCTGTGCTGATGTGCTGACAGGTCCACAGTGCCCACCGCTTCGCAGGCACCCGGCACATATTTGCTAAAGTAATGGACTGGGAATTGCTTGTTAACAGTCAATGTGTTGGAAGCAGATGGGTCATTGTTTGAAAATCTGAGAAACTGCATTCTTTTCCTATGCATGTTTCTGAATATATTCTCCTTTATTCCTGCTGTTTCTCAGCTGCAAGCTGGAGGAAATAAATCTTGACAGCTACAGTGACTTCCTCTGGATTCGACCTTTAATTAACTTACTCTTAGATTTCTGAAGACACTTCTTTAGTTTGTCACTTACTCATTAGCAAGTGTGATCATCACCGGACTCTTGTGTGTACTTCAAATGGACACAGTCAGGAGACTCCTCGGCCAAAGCCTCCAATCAATATTTACATAATCAGCCTAAGCCTTGGGTTTTATCACATTTATTTTCAATCATATAAAATCCAGAAATATAATTTTATAGGTAGAGCTAAAGCAAGCAAAGCAAATAATACAGCTTGGGCTATTGAATCCTATGTGATAGACAGATTATAAAGCAATCTGAGCTTTATAGATTTCTTATCATCTGATGGGGTGGATTGGGTTAAGGCCAGAAAAGAAAACTAACTCTGATTCAATCAATCACCTATTCTGTATAAAGAATTATTTCTTGCCACAATAAAA